ATAACACGGGAAAACACATGAAAACAACGGCTTGCAGCAAACTTCCTCCGCACTCCAATTCCATATATTCCATGCTGGCGGTTTCATCCCAAATTCTCCCAGGGTCTATCCCAGCACAGTCGCCCACCAGATCCATGAAAGCGCCCACGACGTTGGTGACGGCGATGGAGGTCACAAAGGCCAACAATGGGGGAATAAACCCAGGTGTGGCCAATAACCTCTTCGCCTCAGGGACTGTGCTGGGATGGTGATGGGATGGTGATGGGATGGTGCAACTAGCTCATGATATATAGCTCATGATGATATAGCGATGATGTTGATGTTGAAATTCCAACTGGAACTGCCCAAGTTGGAAATCTGCAACGTGGAAAAATCACTCTGGTGACTCTGGTTTGTCCAAAAATGGAGCGTGCCTAATCTCTGGGTTCAAAATTCCTCACCATTTCCTGATTTGTTTCCCTTTAATTCCATATATCAAAATGGCTACTACTGGTAAATCATGGTAAATCCGATAAAAATCATGGTAAATCTGGTAAATCATGATAAATCATGGCCATCATATATCAATATCCAGACCACATCACCAATTTTTGATCACCACACCTCCTCCAGAAAGGTGTCTCCTGGCCCCTGCTTCTGCTCACCCTCACCAGGTCAGCAAAACTGGGACACTTAGGAAAAAAATTGCCAAAAAAAAACGCAAAAAAAAACAAGAAAATCGAACAAAACTCCGGCTTCATGATGATCATGATGGTGTCCTGGGATTCTGATGATGCTTTTCTATTGGATGGCCATCACTAGCCGACTAGCCGGCTTCATTTCGGGACACCCATGGCACATCCCATGGCACATCCCATGGCACCTCAGTGGTCTCCTGCTTCAGTGCTCCACCAGCCTCCTTCTCTAAGAGCTTCTCCAATTCGGATGCTGACCTGGCGTCACGGAGCTCATGGAACCTGGAGGACCCTGGACGACTCAAGACTCAACGACTCATACTATGACCCTGGAAAGCAATATCAATTAACATACATATAAGATATGTAAGATATATAAATATATATAGAATATATAGAATATAAGATATGGATATTTATATAAGATACATATACATATATACCCTCTGGTAAACATAGAAAAAACGATGGAAAATCACCTTTTTTAATGGCTAAATCAACTGTTTCTATGGCCATATTTCTCAGCATCACCGCTGAGGCTGAGGTGTGGACGGCGGAGTGGGAGGCTTCTCTTGAAAGAAGAGCCTTACTTTTTGCGGCAGAAAATCAGCAGAAAAGGGATGCATTTAAAATGCTTGCACAGCATCAAGATACCATCAATATACCATGGGATGCAATATACCATTATAATATATATATAGTATGAATGGTGTATACATACATATATATATATATATCATATGCTAGTTTCATAAGTGAATTAACCCACAGGTTGCACAGAACTTTGATCCATTTGAAGTCTTGCTAGCGCCAACAGGCTCATTAATGGAACCTTTTTTTTAGCCTTATTACAAAAACAATCCTTTCCCAGAGTAAACCTTCGTTTTGACTTGGTTGGAAAACATTGGGTCAATACAGGACCATTTTTCCATTTTTAGATCTTGGGGTACAATCTGTGCAACCCCGGGTTAATTCACTTATGATAGTTGGGTATGATATATCATTATATATATATATCATAATATGATGGAAAGGTGAGAGCACAGCCTTGTCAAGACATGGGTGACATTTTGCCGGATTTCAGAGATAACCCACAGAGTGGGCTCCGGACAGTGACGCAGCAGCCACCACAGTTGAGGCAATGGTTATGATCACGAAATAGTCCTCCATCCAATGACTGATCTCGTACCCCCTGGTAAACTAACATAGCTATTGGAAATGGCCATTTATAGTGGATTGTCCCATTAAAAATGGTGATTTTCCATAGCTATGTTATTTTACTAGAGGGTAACTCCGCTTGGGATTCTGTTCTTTTTCGCATATGGAGAAACCAAGCACAATTTCACCGATGACAAAAATGATGAGATGCTGAACTTCAGAAGTATTTGCCCTAGAAAAAAGACTAACACATGGAAGTTTCAAAAAATCGCAAAGTTCGATTCTTTTGACCCTTTAGAAAAAAAACCGAGGTTTTCCCTTTCTTTTCCATGGTTTTTCCAGCGTTTTTCCAGCGTTTTTCATCCCGTGGCCATGGAAACAGACGGCGCAACAACGGCGCCATGGCAGGCGCCTTGAGCCCCGCTTCGGATCCGCCAAAGGCACCCCCAGCCAGGAAGGCTGTGGCGATTCCGACCTGAAAATTGAAAATTGGAAGGGCAACTCAGCCGAATAAAACTGAAGCAACTACTGTATATTTGTATATAACTTTGTATATAACTCACCTGTATGTGTTTTTTGTATATTTTTTTGTAAGATGATTTTCTGGTTTCACAATCGCTTGAGTCTTTTTTCAGTCACTTGATTCAAAGAGCACTTCAAGTCGTGCAAAAAGGTGATGCCACTAAAGTTAAGGGCCTGATTGAAGTTGATTGCGACTGCTGTAGACAGAGCTCTCTCCTCAGTTTCATTGCTACCAACACTTGATGAAGTGGGATGATCTGACATCATCCAACACTGAGCGAATCCCTTTGTTCACAGACTGGGAACTACGAAGTGCACAGTCACCATGCTTCTCCGGGGCCTAAGACTTCTGACCAGCACTGCGTCAAGTAACATCCGGGGCGAACCACGTCGCTGAGAGAAGGGGTGGTGTACACTGGAAGAAGGGCTGTGCCACCTGAGCCACGGGGATTGAAGGTTGATGAAGATGATGAAGATAAATCTTAAAATGCCATACCATCTGGTTATGACTAACATAGCCATGGTATAGATGGCCCTAATCGAAATAGATGATTTTCCCATTACTGCTAGAAACCTCCATTGCTATTTATTTTTGGGATTTTCCAGCCAGCAAACTGTGAATGTCATAACCAGATGGTACCCCCTAGTAAACTAACATAGACCCTGAAAATCACTATTTTTTAATGGAAATGAATCTTCCAACCCCTGTCTGCCAGGGTCTATGTTAATATACCAGAGGGTAAATCCATGGATTTCTGGAAAATGGCCCATTTATAGATTATTTTCCCATTAAAACCTCCATTTATTTTTGGGATTTTCCATGGCAAACTGTGAATGTCATAACCAGATGGTGTTCCATCCATGGATTTCTTTCTGGATTGAAACTACCCTCTGGTAAATTAACATAACTATGGAACATCACCATTTTTAATGGGTAAACCATCTATAAATAGGCCATTTAATCAGTTACCCGGCCTGGTAAACATACAAAAAGCTATGGAAAGATCACATAAAATCACCATTTTTCATGGGAAAATCACCATTTATAGTGGATTTACCCATCAAAAATGGTCATTTTCCATAGCTATGTTAGTCATAACCAGAGGGTATGATCCAAGGATCCCAGGAGATCCCAAGATGAGTTCAACTGGGCTGCCAGACTGCCACCAGCATCGTCCCTATGACGACCGTGGTATATCCTGACGCTCCATGGATGCACCATGAGATGTTTCTCTACAAAAAATAGGGGAATCAAAATCCAGTTATCAATCAGTATCAATCAATATTGAACCATATTCATCAACATCAATATCAATATCAATATTAATATTAATATCAATATCAATCTTGAAGCATATCAATCAACATGCATCCTTCATATCATTCTCCTAAAGTCATCAACTCACCTGGGAGGCCGCCATCCAGAAAGGGGATACCAGATCGGAGCCAACATCCCACGGCCATGAGCCTCAGCAATGATCAAAGTCACGAACGAAAAATATGGAAAATTGTAATCATATATCATATGACATGTTTTTTCATATGATGAAATATGATACAAAATGATAGAAACTGATACAGATGTTGCATCATTTTGCTCTCTTTTTTAGACTTGTGGGGTCTCCCACTTGTTTGCTCTGGGCGTCCGGCATTGCAGCACCCACAATGGGCATCCGAAGACCGAAATTGCGAATCACCTCGGCACATCGACTGACGCCATCCATCATACTCTTCAGCGAAATCTTCTGATTCTCATTTTAAGACAACATAAAAACCAAATAAACCATGTAAACCTTTAGATCATCTATATCCTCTATATCCTCTATATTCCAGAGCATGATTTCTCAATCAAGGTACAAAGGGTTCGATGAAGCAAGCGAAGACATTGGTGAAGAGAAAGATGTCAATTAAGGACGCGGGATCCTGCGGGATGGCACGGATGGCGGCATGATATGAAAAACATATCATGATAATCAATGATATTGACTTTTTTCGAGATATTTAAAGCGATCTATTTAAGAGTCATATATGAATATATATATATATGTGTATAGTGTATATCTAGGGTATATATATATATATATTAGATTATATATGATATAATACATATATATAGTACATATTATATATATATATATTATTATATATATTATTAAATATATTATTATATATAATGTAATATATATACATAATAAGGTATCGGCTCAGGGACCCCCCGTGCCGTGTTATCTTAGCGGGCTTTGGAGCTGGCCCGCGGGCGTTCGGTTGCTGCTGGCGTGCGGCGCTTCCGTTTCGCTTTCACTTGTGCTCTGATAGGACAGGGCAGCCTATCACCACCTTTGCTCCTTGTGATTGCCCACACGTTCCTCTCCGGCCCCGTGGCGGTTCCGACCCTTCAGGTGGCCTTTGTGTATGTCGGGCAGGACAGTTCTTCCTGCACCTGGTTTTGATCCTTGTTGAGGGCAACGACCAGAGCATTGCGGATCACGACTTTGCCTGGACAGAGGCGCGCTGCGCGAAGAGCAAGGGCAAGAGCAAGACTTCGTTTCTTTTTGCACCGCCGTGGCATTCAGATCTTGGATCATTTGGAGTTGTTCCGCATCAAACAGACGCTGAACCTTCACCATTCCAAGGATCCAGTGTTTATTCGTCGCATTACAGCAGAGATGGCGTCGTTGAAGACACCTGCTTGGAAATGCCTCGACTGCAGGCGTATGGTCAAGGGGAACGATGTCTTTTGTCCTGGTTGTGGCCAACATTGGGAAGTTTGCATGGACAGGAACTTCCAAGATGGCAGGCCTTTGACTCCCACAAGGCATACGACGTACCGTGGACAAGCACAAGATTCCAACAATTGGGAATGGCAGCGCCGCCCATCTCAAAGCCCGAGGCAGAGACAGAGACCACGCTCTCGCAGGCAGCATGGGTATGGACAAGACTCCCAATCTCAACCCAATCAGAAGGGATCTGGCAAAGGTCGAGGCAAGGGACGCGGCAAGCATCATCATGGTGGTGGAAAAGCACAGCCTGCACCGACCTCGAACGCACATGGATTGGGCACCGAGGGTACGGCGCCCCTTCCCCCGCCACCTTTGCCACCTCAAGCTCGTCCTGGAGACACACCATGGACGCAACTTGCACCGCCTTTCCCGTCAGCTGGTGGAGCTCCTGTAGAAGCGCCTGCCCTCTCGGAAGCCGAGATCAAGTTGCAGAAGGTGCTGGGCATCTTGAAAAAGAACCAGTCAGAATTGCCCCCAGAGGTTTCGGAAGTTGTCAAAGATACGAATCTCAAGGAGGGCCACAACAAGATCCAAAATATGCACGATGCTGTGGAGAACTTGGGAGATGCACAGCAAGCTTTCGAAAAGGCATGCTTCACGCGAGCACAGAATCTCGCCTCTTGGCGACAATTTTTGCACCTCTCCGTTCAAAGATGGCAAGAGTACACTCAGCACTTCCTCACACAGGAGAGGCACAATCTCGATCAGATTACTGCCGCCAGGGATGCTGTGAAGAACGCCCAGTCCATCTTCAAGGACATGCAGGAGAAGGGAGTGATTACGATCGAAGCCGAAGACGATCCGGCCATGATGGAGGAAGAGCCCTCGGCAACCAAAACCGAAAGCTCGCGTCGTATTCAAGAAGGCCTGGAGCATATGACAGCTTCTTTGGAGAATCTGGCCAACCAGGCAGACAAAGAGCATGCAGAAGAGCAGCAACAAAAGAAACGGCCACGCAAAGAGGCACCGGCCACAGAAGAGACTGTGGCCCCCTCTTCTGCCTCTGGCTTGCTTGGCTCGCAGGCGATGGAGCCTTTTGGCAGGGCTCACAGCGGATGACTGCATTGTATCCCTGTGGACAGCCAGCCCTGTCCAGTTGCCTCACAGACCTTGGAGTAGGATGGAGGCATACCATTATCGATGAGCCCAACTTTGTTTCACCTTGGGAGGCTTCGTCTTTGGCGCTTGACCTTGCTTTCCACTTGGGTACCCATGGACCCTTGGCAGATGTGGGAAACTGCCACAATTCCGTTGCAACCAGGAGTTCCAAGCCTGGCAATTCATTTTCATCTTCGAGACGAAGTGTGCGTTTTTGTGATACAGTTGATTTACTACTTGGCCCTGATGATGGTTTGGTCATGGTCTCTGCGTCAGTGTCACACGAAGAGCTGAGTTCCACCCATGCGAAGCCATGGGGATGGTTCATTTGCCCTGACGTTTGGGAGTACATTGAAGATGAGGACGTGTACCGTCCTCTGAAGATTTCCCGCAGTGCCTTGGAACCGCTGTCTTCAAAGGCCGTGTTGATCCGGCACTTGCCACCTATTTGCATGCTGCGTACCTCCGATGCTTGGCACCAACCTCTGCCTTCTGACCTCCTTCAACCTCATGACGATCCTGAAGATGATGACCCCAATGCCATTCCTGACCCTGCGCGTGCACCGCAGTTTGTGCAGGACCTGTTTGAACTGGCTGACAGACACCGCATCTTTTCTGACATTGATGCACCAGGAGTCCTCAGGGTTCGCACTTGGTTTTTGCATCATTTGGATGAACGCCGCTGTTGGCATCCGCGCATCCTTGAATATGATGAGGATTGGAGGGGATGGGAGAGAGATCTGGGCTTAGCATGGAGATCGCACATTAGACCAAATGAAGAAATCCAGATTCAGGTTGCTTATCCTGACCCTTTTCGGGGCTACATGACAAGGCCAGCGCATGCTGACGTGATCATTTCGCAAGGCCACTGGCTACCTCATTACTCAACCATCATCACTGTACACAGGCTGGGACGGACGCACGCACCGCTTTCCTATGCCCTGGCGTGCTCACTGGAAAGAAGAGTCAGTGGGGTTAGGCTTGCTGATGAAGCGGACGTCCTGCCTTTCTGCAATCAAGCGCATGGCCGTTGCTCAATTTCCTTTGGATGGAACCGCATTCCTTTCACTTTGCAGCCCACGCATGATGTTTCTGCTGGCCATGCGTTCACTGTACAAGTGGGAAATGATGAAGCCGGAGCCGCTAGCTCAGGTCATGCTGATCGACCTGTAGTGAACAATGACAATGCTGCTCATTCTCTTCCAGCCATGGATGTTGACTATGATTCGGTTGATGAAGCTTCCAATGGTGAGGTTGATCCTCCAGATTTTTAAGGGTCTCAATCAGAAAGCAGCCTGCACAGCAACGACCTGAGCTTGCTGGTGTATAGGCTCAATGCCCCGGATGCGCATGGATTCACCCAAGGTAGCAACTACATTGCCATTTTGAATGCAGCCATTCGTGCTTGCAGGATTCCGCGCAGACTTGTGCGTTGCCATCATGCATTACATGCCAATCCCACCGGAGTCCATCCGGAACATGAAACGGCTGTTATTTTGCAAAGTGTTGATGATGTGGCACCAGGTTCCGATGACAAACTCGTCCTTGTTGACCTTGAGATTCACTTTCATCCTCTCAGTGACGGTCTTGTTGTTCCTGCAGCGCACAGCAGAAAGGTTTTGAAAGTGAACCCGCACTTGCATCGGGAGCAGTTGCTCTTGCTGACTGGCCTGCGTGATTATTGCCAACTTGAGAAGGAGCGATGTGTCATACATTGCAACCAGCAACTTTGGACTGCCAATGATCGTGGTGTGCGTGATATTCAACATGGGTTTTATTTCCGCATTACTGTTCCACCACCGTCAGACACCGAGCTTGACACAGAAGTTGCAATCGGCATCGCAAGGGAGTTCGGCATTGACGCATCCTCTATTCGAGGCAATCATGCCAGCTGTTCTCCCACCCTTTCTCTTCGGCAGGTTGATGTTGAAGCCTTGAGCCCTGATGCAGATCTCAAATGTGCGGTTGCTCATGCACCTGATGAATCGCCATCGCCCGCTACTGCGCCCACCACTGGACAGAGAAAGACAAGGATTCCTTCACCGTCTTCGCATGCGCGTTTTGCACCAGGAGTTCAGCGGCAACTTGAAGCCTTACTCCAACAGGCAGACCTTATCGAATGTGAAGAGGAAGGTCGCATCATGTACCTGACCACATGGTACATCCATCATCGTCAATTCAGGCGTTGTTATGCAGGGCGAGCTGTGCGACTGACTCAGGATTCCGCTGACTGGCTGGAAACTATTCTGGAGCCATGGATACCTGTCATCGACCAATCTCAAACTGTGATTATCCGCATTGTACGTTCCACACCACCTTGTAATTTGTGGGAATGCGTGCAGGCACATTTGATCATTGAACAGGACCATGTACCGAGACAGGTCTCCTGCCTGATCAGTCACTCAGATTGGCGATATCCTGAACAGGGATGGCAGCATCGGGCGCTTGCAATTGATGACTTCCAAAACTCCAGAGGCATTCTCGCAGCTGCTGAGCTTAGGGAATTGTGCAGACGTGTGCAGTGCAATGTTCAGGCGCGTGGCTTGCCATTTGCTCTCACTGATTTTGAGGAGATTGGCAGTGCTTGGAATTTTGTCGTCCACATTCAACGTCCACTTGTGATTGAGTTTCCTGAGCCCATAGAACTCACTGACTTCCACAGCTTGATGCAACAGGGACATGCCTCACATGGACTTGACATGCCACCCACTGGAGGGGAATGTGGCCACTTTGCGTTCGACCCGCTTGCCCCTGCTTTCCAGCCTAGTCAACCAAATCTTTGGGACTTACCGGATGACATTCAAGAACTCCATGAAGTTTGGCGCTCATCCGCAACGGCATGGGAGCAAGAGTCCCCGGCAGCTCACTTTCTTGTCTGGTTCCTTTGTCCTGGTGGCGGTGTCAGAAGATGTTTGGGCTGTCGCAGGGTCACACTGTTCGACGACTTCGCAACCTGGAGGGAACGACTCACCTTTGCGTGGAGAGATTTTGTTTTGCCCAATGTACCTGTAGAGATTCATGTTGTGGATCCACAGCCTGCACCACTTGAACATGACATCACGGCACACGTGATCTTGACGCAACTGATGCCCGACCATGAAGCAGGAGTACTAGTCAACATTGTCGATTCTGCCGTGAATGATGCAATCCCATTTCGTGTGGCCATCACGATTGCAGACCCTGCGCATACGTTGCTCTTCCTTCAGGCGCTCAATTATCACAACGAACAGGCCCTCATTGGCCTTACTTTTCGGCAGTTTGCGATTGAACCAGGCAGATTGACTCCTGCGCGCAATGGCAATTGCTTTGACCTTGTGGTCACTCGAGCGGTTGTGCCGCAGAACTGGGCGCCCCCCATTCTGCCCGCAGTGCCTGGCGCTGAAGGTCTTGGATTGCTGCAGACACAAGCAGCCTTCATCAAGAAGGGCCAAGGTGCGCGCCTAACACATGGGCTGGTGGCTCACACCCATGGGCCACCGCTTGAAGCCTCTGCTGCCGATGAAACCACTCCTGCAGCGACATCTCTTTCTTTGGCCGACTTGCTCACCACAGCCGTTGAAGTGATCTCTGGAGACCCTTACATAGCCTTGCCTTCTTTCTTAGAAGTTCCGGTTGACTTTGTTGAGGCTGACATTGAGCATGAACTTAGGACATTTGGCTTTGAATGCCGAGCATTTCTGTTTGGTCAACACCGGAAGGCCTTTTGTGTCCCAGTGACGGCCCTGCAGAATTCAGAGTACTTTCATGTCCTCTTTGCCAATGTCGACACAGGCGACTGCAAGGGCACCTTCGTCCACTCCTTTGAGAAGCAATGGACTGAGATTGAGCTGATGCAGATCCTGCACAGACTTGGTTATGAGAAGGCCTTCATTGCGAAGCTCTGTGTGAAGTCAGATCGTTTTGCAGTTGCAGTGTTCGGGGAATCACATGGCAGCCTTGCTTGCATTTCCAAATTGCGACCAATGAGCTTGTGGCCTTCGCCTCAGCCCACGCCCAAGCTTGAATATCTTGTCGAACTGGCTGGCATGTGGCATACTGAGTGCTTACTCCAACTTGGTGTCAGTGAGCAAGACATTAAGAATTTCTTCCAACCGAGATCGAACATCCTTTGTGGGCATTTTGAAGGCATTGATCTACCAAAGGTCACCCAGGAAGCTATTGATCTCCTGGCCTCTCCGAGCCCCAATCTTGGTTTCGATTCTTTCGACCGTCTGATCATTTACGTTGATGGAACCTCGCAGCCAAGTCAAAAACACCTGCCGCCACTGCGAGTCGATGCAGAAGGACTTCCAGATGCCTGGGCTTTCCTGGTGATTGGCGAGCGTTACTCCAGCGAGGGGAGCTCCACTTTGCATTTACTTGGTTGGCAAGCGCAACAAGTTCGATATGATCCGGACAGCCCCAATTTTGCGGGTGCTTTGAAGACCAGTTCACATATCGCTGAACGCGAAGGGCTTTTCTTTGCTGCCTTGTGGAGGGCAACGTTGAACATCAACACACCTACGATCTTTCGTAGTGATTCGTGGTTGACCTGCAAACAGGCCACTGGCTGCATTGGCTCGCTCAACGTTGACTTGTCTTTCACACTCCTGCGCAGCATATTCCAGTTCCTGGAGACAGCGATGGCAGTGGACACATTGCTCGTTGAGCACGTTTATGGCCACAACAATGACCCCTGGAACGAGGCCGTGGATGCCATCGCCAAAATGGAAGCCAAGAAGAGTTTCTTCCTGCCACGTTTGGATGTGAATCTTCGCATTTGGCAAGACGCCTTACCTTCCCTCTGGCTTCTGGTTGGTCAGCGTTTTGGATGCCCGGCTTTCTGCGGACCTGGATTTGATGTACATGCACCTGACTTGCCGCCTGCTGAAACTCCCTCGGAGTCTTTGCATACCTTGCAACCCAACCGAGTTGATCCACCTGAGTGTGTTGTTGTTGATGTGAGGATTAGTTTTGCCTCA